GTTTGCCGCACTCTATTTTGAAATCGGTCGGTTAGTTATTGCATATAAAACAAAACAAGTTGACCCTTTAAATCAAGTTTTCCCTGTATATCTCCGTCAATTTCGAATATTTCAAAAAAAAAAAAAATCCCACCTGGCAAATTCCGAGATCTGTCCAAAACCGTTGAGTTTGGTGGCATCAACAAACAACACACCTCTCGAAAAACAAAACAAGATTTTCCGGTTTATCGGAGATAAAAAGTCAAGGAAAAAAAAAAAAACGAAAACTCTCCGTCACGCGATGCGCCTGTAAACAGGGCGTTTTCCGGTATTTTCAGAATTCCGAACAACCACCTGTGTGCAGAGAAAAGTTGTCATTTGTGCTGGGAAATTTTGGGATTTTTACTTGTGCACGGACCATAGACATTCATGTATTCTACTCCCTTGGGCTTAATCTGAACTTGTGACAAGGCGAGTCGATCACATTAACAGCTGCGGTCTATCTCGCGGTGTGCGCATTGCTACTGTTAGGGGTGTCAAAGCGGAAAAATTCCTATAGGAAAGAAATCGAAAAAGCGTCCTCGGATCCTGCTTATGGAAAATCGACCAACCAATGAAATTGCACGGAACCGTCGGAACCTCCCGAAAAGACCCTCTGACGCACACGCGCGAGTGCGCAGCTCGCCTGTTTGCTTTGCGCCCTGCTATGGGGCACAGCACAACACCATTGCGCGGTCCCACTCTAGAAAACATGCCTCATGACACACCCGAGCAGCAGCCGGGCGGTGAAGCCACGCAGACACCTGCCGCCGCCGCTGCTGCTGCTGAGAAGAACAGCAGCAGCAGCAGCGGCGGCGGCGGCGGCGGCAGCGAGGTTGAGCCTGGCTCTCTTCCACAATTTTCTTGCTTTTGACCAACTCCTCCTTCGTTCCCTCCAGCGTTCTCTCTACGACGGTGAGGCTGCCGCGTTCGATAGCGCGCCGGGTGTTACCTCTGCTGACGCGGCAAACCATACACTGCCCCGTCCTCTCTTCAAACTTCGTTTTGTTTTGATTCAGCTTTCGCGCAGCGCGCCTCCTGCTGCCGAACGGCGCGGACCTCGATTTTTTTTTTGGGAGGGTCTGCTGGTGTGGGCGCTGCAGCCCCACTGGAGGGGCCGTTTTCGGACATGCAGATCTCGGGGTTGGCTGACGCGATTCGGGCGCGGTTTGTTGTGCTGTATAGGTGTAAACCCAAGGTAGAGGACTACAAGCTCGCTTTTACGAGAGGAGCAAAGGTCGCCTTGGGCGTGGAGCAAGGCGCCCAAACAAACATGTTTTTGGTGTTGTTCGTCCGCCCGTTACACTTATAAGTAAAAACCGAGCTCGCAGTCACCGCTATTGGACCCGTGCCCAGGTGTGTGTAACGCGTGAAAAGCCATGCTGCTGTCTGGACGCAGAGCTGCCTGCACAAACGAATTGACTTGATGTATAGTTTATTCAGTATTATCAGCGGGATTCTCAAGAACCAAAAAAAAACATATCCGCGTGCCCCCCTCAAATTTTGCCGAGTGGACCGGACGTTTTTTTGGCCCCAAATTCCGCCGCTTTGACACCCGTAACTGTGCATGCAAATCGCCTGGTGGTCGCTGAAAACCCAGCTGAGTCTTATAATAGCAGTATGTTCTCAACTTCCGCGTGCGTACTTCAATGCATCACCAACACAACAGTCCTTTCTTTGAGCTGCTCGGGTTCCGCCTATACTTCTACCTAGTTGCGGTGGCCTGAGGAACAGCGAAAAAGAACATCATGTATGATTTCTCAACCACAGCCCGCAACTCATCAGGTCGGGTCCCTAACCGCCGCGTGTTCCTTCAACCTGTGGCGGCTACCTTCATCGAGCACAGCCATCCCCGTTCCTCCTATGTGCGTCAACATGAACTGACCCGTTGCTTGCGCGCATTTGCCATGCGTCGGTCGCGTCGTGTCGCAGATCGTGGACATGAAGTACAGAGGCCTGTCCATGAATATTGCGAGCATTGGGGTGGACATGAAGATCGACATGGACCTAGAAGTTTTTGTGAGTCATCCTGTTGTGGCAACAGTCGAAGGAGCGAGAAATCTCTTCTATTGAGTCCTTCTTCATCCTCTTTTCAAGCTTGTACCGTTTGGCTCGCAGAAAACATGGATTATACCGCAGGGGTACAATACGACGATCCGTGGTGTGACATTCCACACAACATATATTCGTTACTTGTACTGGCCGTTCGGCTGGGTACATGTCATTGGTGTCGATTTATTTCACAGCACACGAAGTAGGCGTTCGGAGTTATACATGTATGAGCTGCAACAATGTTGTGTTTCTAGGTGATTTCGCATTGCCACAAGGTAGCACACCTCGACTGGCATCAGCGAACCGTGAACGTGATACCCAACTTGCCGAGTGGCAACTGCTGTGCCGGCCACAACACTCGCCTTCCTTCTTTGCAGAACCCGAACTACGTCCCTGCAACGCTGAAAGGCATCGTGATGACCATGTTCCACGAAGACCTTGGGGGGGAGGAGGCGCCGTTCGGGGTGGTAACCTTCGCCGGCGAAAATGCGGCGAGACTACCCGCGCGGGGCTCCGCAGTAGTGCAGGCACAGGTACTATTGATTGCATATGCACCGCAGCTGTGACCCTGCTGCTCTTGCATGGTACTCCCATGAGCGTGGTTTCCGGCTTGTTTTTTTGTTTTCATGCATGAACCCCAACCCGAACCGTCATCGCTACGGTTATTGATTGCCTCCCTCTGTTCTGTTTCGCGTGCTGTTCTGTGTCTACTTGTCCACATACTTTTGAATCTGTGGACTGTTTTACGATGGAAGCAGAGGGCAATGAAAAAGAGGATTTCGTCAAGCAGCATTGTTGTAAAGCGCCACCCAATACCCTGCCCTGTCGAGCCGGTGCGATAGCCTTTGTCAATCCCCTAACCCCTGGTATCTGTCTACCTAGTCCAGCTCCTGGTGATGTTGAGGTTGGTGTAATTCCGCACCGTCGAAGAGCACAGCCACTATTTTGTCGTATTTTCGTGCGGTTGGAGAATACGAACTGCTCCACCACATAACAAGCCAGGAGCTCACAGATCCAGGAGTAACAATGATGCCAACGTTGGCTACAAAAACAGGTGCCGTCTTCACTATCGTACACCACTGCTGTGGTATATTTTTTAGTAGCCGTTGGATTACGCGGCAGAGAAAATAATGGCTGTGTTGTCAAGTAGCTGGTTGGGTTACCTGGCGGAGGGAACAAGAAGCAAGAAGAGGTTCTTGAATGGTGGCGAGTGCTGCATGACGATCCACGTACTGGTTGGTATAATCGGTAGCCCTTCTCGATCCCCCTCTCTCGTCCTCATTTTACGACCGAACCTTGTCTTCGTTCTTTTTTTTCTGTTATGTTTTTTTTGTGTGCCTTGTAGATGGAAGTCGTGTCGCTACCGACAAGCATGGCGATGGGCATTGCGAAGGATGTTGCTGACGGAGGCGTCATCGTCAGCCGGGCATCGGCCGTCATGGACGTCAAGGTTATGGGAGGGTGAGAGCAAACGAGTGAGGTTCAGATGCAGTACTGGGCCCTGTGCCTTGCCGGTTGAATAGTGCAGGTGGCCGGTATTGTGCCGGTATTTACGGCTCGCATACACTGATATACCAAGTTGTGCTGTACTTTGAATAGTGTCGGTAATATCTCGAGACATATTCTGGCACTGAACAGAGAACTCTACGGTAGTTTCACACGCCTCTTTGTGAGGTAGATTCGAGGGGTGGGCATTTGTAGTTGGCGACTTCACACGTTGTTCGTGTCAGGTTGGAACGGAAGTCTTCGTGCTTTTTTTCTTGTTATGGGAGCTTGAGTTTCTTTTTTCCTTTTGGTGTTGATTTCCAACCCATTAGAACCAGATAAGCCTGCTTCTGCTGTCATTGGACTAGCGCCTATTAGGGCAATCTGGTAGGTCGTGTTTTCATGTTATTTTGGTTCACTTTGAAGGAAATTGAGCTTGGCAGCGGAAACGCTCTCAATTTGCCTGCTTTCAGCTGCTTTCAGCAACCGAGTTCCGAGAACGAATTGAGGAGAGACAAATATGGCACCTCTTTGAAAGAACGAGCGACAACTGAATTGTGGCTTCGCCGTTCGCCATTGTTCCGCTTCTGTTTCCATCGTTTACAATCGAATCGTTACGACTAGGGATATCTTGATCGAGGCGGACTGCGTGCAGCACATGCAGGCAGACGTGTTCCCCATCAAGATCAACGAGATAGACTGCAAGTACTACTACAACAACGTTAGGGTGCCGGTGCTGCCTCCATAGTGGGGCATCGCCACGTCATCATGTCCTTGAGGAGCAACGAAAGTCCTGGCAAGGTTCTCACTTTTTGACAAGGAGATGCGGGGTTCGGTATCAAGATATCAAGAGCTTGCTTCCGTTCGCCTCGTGGCAGTTGGATGGTTGTATCCCATCCCACCTCAAGCAGGGTTCGGAAAACTCTCCTAGAGGTCTTTCCAGAATTTCGCTCACTGCATTGTCAACCTACGAGTGATTGAAAGATCGGACGTCCAAGGGAAGCCGGAGGGTAAGTTAGATAATTTTGCCATATCAGTGAGTGTACAGAACAGCTGGCGATGAGAGGCGATTTTTTTATGTGGTACAAGGAGTTCGTTGATGCTAACGTTTCTTTTTGGTTCTTGCGGCTGCAGGGCGGGCATTCGAAGGAGTCGGGGAACGGGTGGCCATTCCCATTATTCGGTGCCATGGACCCTTGTATCCTGCTGAGCCAGGGTGGGCCGTCCATCTCTTGGTCGACCTTGTGCAGGGAAACATGTTTTGCACCTACAGTAGCCTTGTTTCACCGTGGGGTTGTTGTGTTCGGGGAGTTGCAATAGGTAGTCTGCTGAATTGCTAGAATATTTTAGGGAAGATGATAGCACACTGCTCTTTGGTTTCTTAGTATGGTGTTGGTGTGGGGGGGCGAGAATCATTTACTCGTTCTTCGTGAAAGTTGTGATGTGAATTGCCTTGGCATCGATACGTTGTGTTTTCTCAAGTTGATGCTGCCGTTGCTGCGTTCGCCAGGCGCATGTCGCCAGCGTGTTATGTGTGGTTGGGCAGACGGAAGGGGAAGCGTGTAGTCTGTCAATGTGCTCGGAGGTGCTTTGCAGCGGACCGATTTGATTGTTGTGCTTGAATGTATTCCTACCTTCGTCAGGCGTTCAGGTAGGTGCGGATGGGTGGAAAAGCAAAATGTTGTAGCTCTCGTCCACCCTCCATTGTACCACCTCCTCAATCCGAAAGATAATAATGTTTATTTCTAACGACGGTTTTACGACACGTACGATGAAGAGGTGTAGTAATGATGTTCCGCGAGGAAGTGTGCTTATTGTTCGCGCCACCTTCTCCCAGACTCGATATCAATAGTGCCGGTGTGTTCCCTTTTCCTCCTTCCTTTTCTGGCCGAAGAGGCTTTTCTGGGGCCAGTCGACGCCAAACTTGAAGCGCACGCGTTTCCAAGCACAGCCGTTTGCTTGCCACCCCCGAGTTGTCTCGAAGCACATGGTAGGGACAAGTCCTCCCCGAGATGTCGACGGGCTGGGGATTTATGTCATGTGCAGAGGATGAGAGAGAGACTCTATGCTTTCAAGCGTGGAAAACCACAGCAGCCGCCAAAGAAACGGTTGACCATGGCCAACAACATATTCGCCTGATTGAGAGCGTAGCATCTGATTGAGAGCGAGATTGCGCGATACGCTGTAGCCGGACTACCACTGAGAGGTGGAGCTTGCTGTGTAGCTTGAATTGAAGGGCTAGCCCGTAGCTTCAAGCCGCTACCCTGGTCATCCTGTGGGAGTCTCTCGTTGTGGAGCTACAGCGGGGAGCAGAAGCTACAGCAGAGCCCACCGCCCGACGCGATACCGCCCTGAAACAGTTTGAGCAGAAATAGCCAATCTGGGCAAATCTAGCAACTTGTCTAGCTCCTCGCTGCAGCATCCGATGACGATGACACGCATATGCTCGCGAAGCTGCTGATGAGACCTTCAATTTGCACCGCTTCTTGGAATAGCCCGTCCCCTACTTGCCAAGAAATGGCAAGAGGCGTCTGGACCCGAAATTTCAATTTTTTTGGCTCTCGCTCTCAATCAGATACTTCGCTCTCAATCAGGCGAATATGTTGTTGGCCGCTGTTTCTTCGCCGCCCTCGGCTGGGTTGTGGATACGCCGCCCTCGCGGGTGAAGTTGTCACTGCCTCTTCACCGCACGTGCATCTATTTTCAAGACTACCAACAGCGCCACGTTTTCATACACGCGAGAGCGACGCAGAATAATCGTCTTTGAACAAACCCAGCGCTCATGCGCAGGATATCGCCCATTCACACACTACCCCTGTCCTACGCCCAGGCCCTCATCCAGGCCGGCTGCGAGGAAACCATCGAGGCCACCGTGCGCAAACGGAGGCTGTGTTTTGCGGGCTTCGTTATGCGCATGGAGGACAACCGCCTCCCCAAGCGCATGCTGCTGGGAGCGATGGCGGGGGGTACCGGATACCGGGGCGGGCAGGAGAGCGACTGGGTGTATCGCCTAGGAGAGGACCTCGTGGCGTTTGGCATGAAAGAGGAGAAGGAGGGGGGGAGATGGAAAGAGAGCGCCAAGGACCAGGAGGCGTGGTACGACAAGATCGAGGACGGGGCGGCATGGTTCATGAGGAAATGGCACAGACAGGAGGCGGAAGCATCCGCGAAGCGCCAGCGCCAGCGCGCGGAGGAAGCAGAGACGGAGAGCACGGCCGCCCCGGGCCCGAAGAGAAAGAGAATCGGGGAAGCGGGGGGGGGGGGGAAGAAACGGCGACCGGACACTGCTGTAGAAGCGAGTAGGGCGGCCAAGGCCGCGCTTGCGGCGAACGACGTACCCAACTGATGATGTTGTCGCACCCTGTGTTCCCTTTTCCCTGCCGTAAGCTGTATGCTCTTAGTATTGCCTCCGGCCTCTCTTTGTGCTTTTCTTCTTTCTTTCTTTCTTGTTCTCCATGCCCTCTCTACGATGATCTTGGACGATACCTCGAGCTCCTTGTTATTTTTGTTTTTTCCTTTGCTGGCTGCCTGCCACCTCTGCTGCCTCTTTGGTGCGGTGCCTACCCTACACTAATGCGCTGGTGCATACTGCACTGCTGTAGTACCTGGTACTGGTGTACGTCGTCCTTCGATTTTTTTATTTTTTTGTGGGAATATATATGTGTTTGTTTTTCGCCCCCCGTCTTGCTGCACCCCCTGGGGTGTGGTGCAGGGCGGGGGATGCCTGGTCGGCGGGAACCCGGCACGGAACCCTCCGGCGTTGTAGGCGGGTGTGGGAAGCGTTCCCCGTTCTCCTTTTATTTTATTTTGATCGGTCTCCTCGACGCTCTTTCTCGTTTGGTGCGGTAGCTGGTCTTTCTTTCTATCATTTTGTTTCTCTTCCGAGTGGTTTTTGTACCGTATTTTTTTCTGTTTCTTCGTGGGGTCGTGTATGCCGGGTTTTGAGACCACGGGCTCCCAATCTTTTTCTTTAGAGCTAATGTGAGAAACAACAACAACAACAACAAACACGTAGCAGTCACTCCCGTAGTAGACAGAGCGTTTGTTAGTTTTATGCGGACGGTGTGGTGTCTTTCTTTCTTTTGTGCCGGACTCTAAGGTATCTACTCTAGCTGTGGAGAGTGACGCTGTTTGTCCTTGTGCGTGTGGCAAATATGGTGGCATGTATTGTGATTTGGGTTGGGCCTTCAACAGTGCCGAAGATGTTTGCGCCCCTTCTACAGTATGTAGAGTAGTGCAGCATGTTGCAAGCACGCACATAGGGCTTTCACTCGTGCACGACAATACGCAAGAGCGGCGGAATTATTTTCAATCAAGAAGATTGACGAGCCTGTCCCTCTCTGCACAACGAGGTACTGACGAGACGGAGCTCAGAAAGCAAGAACGAAAGATACGTTGGCTCAGAACCACCGCAAAATACCCAGATGCCGTCGGCGCATGGGCCACGGTTCAGAATATCATGTTGTCAGCACGAACGAGCTGCTCTTGACTGACCCGCGTGGCATCACCGGCGTTCATGAACAGAGAAAGGGAAAGTGACTGAGAGAGAACGAGAGAGAGACAGAGAGAGGAAGACATTGAGAGAGAGAGAGAGAGAGGGAGAGAGAGGGAGAGAGAGAGAGAGAGGGAGAGAGAGAGAGAGAAAGGTCGGCAAGCGACCAACACGACACGGGGGTAGATAAGGAGAAACAAATATACACACAGAAAGACTACCCGTTCGAGGTATAACTACACTCGAAGGGGATGTGTTGAAGTCTTTACAGTGAGTAGAGGAAAACCAGCTGGGTACTTGACTTATTTCGAGTTTGTTTAAGCCTATACACTGATGATTTATATCAGTGATACCAGTTGGTGCTTAGCACAAAAACATCTGCGTAGGTACATTTACATGTGGCCTGCATAGGGAACACGGCGCAATATGTCATGTTGACAGTAGTTGCTGGTTTAATTTAGAAAAATACATATATTAGGAAAAACAAATATGCACACAGAAAGACTACCCGTTAAACACATAAAAGCTCCCTGTTCGAGCGAAAATCATAGTCGTTCGAGGGGGGCTTTTTACAGCAGTATTTAGGAAAAACAAGTATACGTGCAGAAAGGCTACAGCAGTATGCAATAACCGACATACGTTAGTTTATCTATTTACTACAAAGTACTGTTTATTACAGCAGTAGTTGTTGTACCTATTTGAAAAAACAAATATACACTAGTCTAATTATTTATTTTATTTTATTTTATTTGTTTCTGATTATATTTTGTTTTCTTGTATTTTATCGCTCTGCTGACCCTTGGGGTCCATTTTATTTTGGTATACCTTTTCTAGGTACGTTAGCCTGTGACCACGGAAATTGGCCGAGTCAAGTGATGAATTAGTACGGAGAGATTGAGACAGAAGGAGGTACTGGATAGAGAGACCGGGATGGTTTTTAATGTGAAGACAACAACAACAACACTCATAAAGGCTACTGCTGTACATATTCGGAATCACAAATATACACACAGAAAGACTACCCGTTCGATGCTGTATATATATTTTTTGAATTTCTGAACAGGTCAGTCAGGTGGTTGTTGATTTCCCGCTCAATTTGATTTTCAACTCTACCCATGGTGTTGTTTGATATGCGTGTATGACGAGTAATAATGAGACTCATCAAATGAGATTGTGACGCAAAGTATGCATTATGGGGGGAGAGTGATTGCAGTGCTCTTGCGTGTGTATGGGCAGTAAACTTGGTTGTGTAGGAGAGAGGAAACGGAGGTAAGTCTTGTGCGGTGTCGTACATTATGAGGAAAAACAAACATACATTCACAATCGTACATGTTTGCAAACAGAATTTGAATCTCAAAACATACATGTCGACTGTTTGTTGCTTTCCCGCTCTTTTCGATATTTAAAAAAAAAACCATCACGTGATGTTTGCTACCTTGCGTGTCGAGTAATGACGGGATGTATCAGAGGAGGTTGTGATATAAGTACTACATGGGAGGGGAGAGATTGCAGTGCTTTTGCAAATGAATGGAGGGTAATCAGTCTTGGTGGAGTAGGAGCGAGGCAATAAAAGAAAGGTGGTGGCGAACATTTTGAATAGATCAAGTCATCGGGTCTATGCAATCATTGGCTGCCCCATCAAGCAGCAGCACGAGACTTCCCTGTGTTTCTCCGGTGTGTCGTAGCCATGTTGTAGAGTATCCTTCAGCAAGGGCAGCAGCAGCATCAGTGAGTAGTACACATCTTCGTGTTGAGCAGTAGTGGTGGACCTTATTGGATGCACAACATGGACGACTTGGGTGCCGGGGGTCCCGTGCATACGGCGTACGACGAACCGGCACCTAACCCGCCGCGACAAATGCATACGGTAACGGCGAGAGGCGAGAGACATGACGTGCGGGTGAGTGACTGGTCATGTGTGACAATTTCATGTGGCATGTTGTCCCGCTCTGTGTTTGCGTTCACGGACACACAGGACGTTGTGCGCTGGGTGGAACAGCCCCGGCTCGAAGAAGAGCAATCGACGACGCCTCGTCATGTTTGCATTTTCACGCAGTTCATCGCAAGCAAGTTGCAAGTCCCTCTTCTCTGCTGACTGACACGAGCCCCTTGTGTATGTATGTGGTGAGGTTCGGATAGGGGTGGATACGGAGCCGCGCACCATCAGCAACACCCATCATGGGCTGTTCTCACAGCTCCAAGGTTCAAGGCGAAGGTCCCGGGCAGGATGTGAAAAAGGTACGCAACGAAGTGTCGTATGGCAGTATGGCTCACCGGGATCTGCTTCATCTTCTTCAACGCAGACACAGTACAACACCCACCCGTGATGGAAGCACAGAGGCAGTCCTATCCAACGGGTCGTCTTTGCTTTGTGGCTCTGTTGCTCCTAGGTGGTGCGTGGATGATATATGGCAGCCCAAACATGTTCTCGTCATGGGTACAAGAGTATTCCCTCACGTACATGCGATCGCGGCCTGCCCACCACGACTCTTACTACTGGAGTCCTGTATCACAACCATGCGCAGCACACGGTAGTTCTGCTGCTGTACCAGGTGTCATCGACTTTACGTAGATTGTACACAGGACTACAGATTTCCTATTGAATATAGCGGAAGAAACCATATGATGGGGTTTTTACGGTGTTTGGACTCCGACACACAATTTCTTCCCCTTTCCGATATGGTGCATGATCAATGTTGGTTTTCATTCACGAGGGCCGTGTATTTGACACTCAGCTGAACGGGTAGATATAGTCTAGTCTAGAAGTCGGCCATGCACTATCACGGTATTTTGGATGACGCAGACTGTCCTCCGTCGTTGGCGTGAGTATGATACATCGAAACGCACAGTACCACAGCTTCGCAATGTGTACGTACTCTTGTAAGCAGGAAACAGATGCACCTGGCGTGGAGAATGTAGCGGCAGCATCGAACGACACCCTCGAGGCGCAGAGCACCGAAGGCGATCTGCACAAGAGAATGGTGTCTAGCAAGGCGGTCCAGGTATGTATGTGCAGCGTATCTATCTTACTTTGCTTCACCGTCATTTGTGCGAAGGTGATGGGGCTTCCATTATGAAGTCGACAGGGTCCTTCTGGGTATCCTGCCTGGCTTGGCTTCGTTCTGCATCCAATGGATATTTGCACATACTCTAGGTGTTGTTCACAAAACATAGCCCTGGGAGCCAAAGCAGGTCCAGTTTGAGGAAGGTGACTGAGTCATGCTATACACTGTGCTTGGGAGAGAGTACCTCTATTTGTGGAGTGCAGAACTTCCGCTCCTGTGGCACATACAAAATGTGCTTTGGCAGAATGCTGAAAAGCACAAGTACGTAGAAAAACGAACAGCTGGACTCATGTTCACGTAGGATTGCTGTTGTTGCTGTTGTTGTTGTTGTTGTTGTTGTTGTTGTTGCCCCTACTGCTACCACTGCTGCTACTGCTGCTGCTGCTGTTGTGTTGCTCAGTAGTACTCAGGTAACAAGTCAACCGATACACGGAAAAATGCCTTATCAATAGCCCAGAGTATGCTGCTGCCGGATATCAACTCACTGCACTATTTTTCAGGATTTATATGATGCGTACATGTAGCAGTCCTCGAACGTCGGGAACCAGAGCAACTGACGCTACAATGGGGGCGTTTGCCCAGTAGCGAGCACTTCATATAACTGTCACGCTTAACAGGTGCAAGGAGTTCAACAGCAACCATATTCGTTGTGTTTTTCCCTCGTTAGACGTTGCCGTATCCACTGCCTAGCCCTGAATATAGCGTGCCACACCTGTACCTCCGAAAGCTTTTGGCAATGATGGCTGCCATGCCCTTGTTTCAACGTGCACGACACAACGTAAACCCTTGTGATAGATCATCAACAGCGAAACAGTCCCAAACAGAATGTCAGAAATAAGCGCAGTTTCTACATTCGTAGGGAAACAAGTCGCACGTATGTACGTCGCATGGCAAAAATTTCATGTGTGTGCTCTACAGGTGATGAAGGTCAGGACTGACAATGATGGAAGCTTCATAGTCCGATACGCCTTTGCATCGCAGCGAGGTTACTACCCTGACGGTAAGCACTCATATGTAGTTCAGGATGTCCCGGTCACAATCTTGTTGACCCTTCTGTCTCCAGCCCTTCCCAAGGGGTTTCGAACGGTGTTGCGGCTCACGGGCTATTGCTGTGCATTGTGGCGGATCGACCTCATGCACACGGCTTCCATTACGTTCTGACGGTACTTTAAGTCCTTGTAACTGGTGAACCTCCTTTGTTTGTTCGTTCTCGGCTTCCCTGGTTTATCGTGTCTCCATCTGCATTTTTGAATCTGTCGTTTTTCTGGACTATCTACACGTGTCGTCTTCTACATCTTTCACCCGCCCTCGTTCGCCCCCATATCAGCTGCGGTGCTTCACACAGACTCAGCCAAGCGGTTTGTTGATCAACGCTCGCGCCCTTTTCTCCCCCTCTCTCCGTTTGAACGTTCGTCATTGTTAACCGGGGTGAAAATAGAACCGAACAAAGCGAACCAGGACAGCTTCATCGTAGTCCCCAATTTCTGCCGCGACCCTGAGTCCCTTTTCTGCGGAGTGTTTGATGGGCACGGGGGGACGGGCGATCTTTGCTCAAACTTCGTCGCTCAAAAGCTTCCCAAGGTCAGAATAACCCTCAACACCATCCAATTTGCAAGAAAACAGCGGTACAGAGCAGATGTTAAAAAAAATCAGCATGATGGTTGACCCGCCCTGAGGCCTGGGCTATCGTGATCGTGGTCCTAGTGTGTAGGCTTCCGGAAGAGTGTCGAGCGGAAGGAACGCATCTATTCTCGGGTGCCACAGGGCTGTACAAGAAGTCCAAGCCACTCGAGAGAGCGTTCTGAATCAGTCGGCTGTGCTAAGCAGCGAAATTTAACGGTCTTTTGGGCAAGAGATCAATGTGCTACAGAACGAGAGCCGAATGAGATGTACTTTCGCCCTTGCAGAAACCCCTTTAGGAAGTTCTCGAGGGCAGCTAATGCGGGAATTGCGGGTGATTAGTGTAGCATTAGGACCCTTAGCTGGTGGCAGTATGGTTTTAACGACATTTCTTTCAGCGAGGTCCAGGGCGCCCCTGAAGGGATCGGGGCGACACCCACAGAGCCTTCAGCGGAGACAGATGTTTTGCGGGAGGGCGCCTGCGGGATTGGACGTGAAGTGTTTGCTGGATTGCCTTCAGCACCATAGCGTCTCTGCCCATGTGATGTTCCGAACGCCAAAGCTGTCACCGACCCGAATGTATAGAGTATGAAATACGCTTGGTTGTAAGTGGTTGTTTGCGTTCATTGTCCCTGAACGCATCTTGCAGGAGTTCGAGAGTAGGCTCGAACTCCACGGCAACTATTCATCACTCGACGAGGACGCAATCAAGGAGGCCAGCAAGAGGGCGCACATGTCGACCAACGAACAGCTGCACGCCACTGAGTTCGACGACACGCTGTCCGGCACCACTGCGATATCAGTACTGCTCAAGGTGAGCCGCACGACGAAATAATGTTTTATATATTGAAGGCCAACCGCGGCAAGCGTTCGTTTGGCTTCTGTTGCTCGATATTTTGCGTTCTGTGTGAACAATTTGCCTATGATGTCAATTTATCGCGCAGCTTCCAACGCGATACCTCGCCCGCTCAAAACGCCGTATTGCTGCGGCCTCCTCGCCGCAGTCTGGGTTGTTTCTGCCCCGAGATCGGTCTCCATTCCCCCTAGGGTGCTTTACATCGGTGTTCACTACAATGCTCCGCGTTTTCCTCTCAATACTGTGTTAGTTATGCGGGAACCGCTACGGATATATGCGTACGACTTCGGGTACGGTCTGCGCTATGGCGTAGCCAGGGATGCCGATACTTGTTCTTCACTCGTTTCGTCAGAATATTTCCACGTGAGAGTGCCACCAGTTATTATCTTCAATCAACCCCGCAGACGTTTTGAAAACGGGTACCACGGTACTTGTAGAGATACTTTTGACTTGGGACAATTTCTTCCGGAGTTTCTGGATCAAGTCGTGGCTGTGTGGGAACACACGGGCACACTATGAATGTGCCGACGGCCCACTTTGTTCGCTCCCATGGAGCGAGTCAGGGTTTCTACAGTAGTGTGAGTTATGGGCGGTGCAACTGATGTGCGTGTCAAACAGGGGGACACACTGTTCGTTGCAAATGTGGGGGACTCTCGGGCGATCATATGCTCGAAACCACCCGGAGAAGAAAGCATGGTTAGACCCCTCTCGGTGGACCAGACGCCCTTCCGCAAGGACGAGAGGACTCGCATCAAGCAGGCGGGGGGTCACGTGCTGACTATCGATCAGATCGAGGGGCTTGAGGTAAGATCGGGATTAAGATGACCTGTTGTTGCTGAAGACGATGACTACGATAAAGATTATGCCAATAGTGAGCATGATGGTGTTGGCGACGATGGCGGTGGTGGTGATTTGTCACTGAATAGCTCCGCGACACTGACGTCCTCTCGAGTCCTTGGGTCGCTTGGCTTGGACGGAGAAATGCAACACTGTATTCCAATATTTTTGAAAGGATGACGAAAACACCCTATTTTCGGCTTGGTCGTGCAGCGCGGTCTGTGGCTTCACGAACCTCCCGTCCCTTGCCATCGTCTTTCGATTCGTCCAGCCTATCCACGAGAACTGGGACACAAATCTTGGTGACGAGTTAGACGAAATCGGTGACCCTCCAAGAGTGTGGCTGACCTCCTTGGACCAGCCAGGGTGTGCCTTCACGAGGTGATGCATGGTGGTGCCAACAAAGTGGGTGAAACGAAGACCGCCTTCAGTTGCTGAGGCCTGCAGTTCGACCAAGAGAGTAGCAGCAGAGGTCGGCATCGAAACGGTCCGGGCAGTCTCACTTCTAGTGTATTTTTTTCCGTGCAAAACTCTTCTGCAACATGCGGTAGTTGGATTTCGCAATCCAGGCAGGAAACTATGTAACGTGTTGCATACATCTCATCGAGTCGTCAACACCCCACATGCACCACAACCGCAATATGATGTAGGAGTCTTGGTGACTCGATCGGAGAGACCGTGGGTGTGTACGCGGAACCGGAGCAGCTGGTGGTCAACGTCACCAAGCACGACAAATTTATCGTCATCGCGAGCGACGGGGTGTTTGAGTTCATTACCAGCAACAAGGTGCGCGCAACACACAGCCGGTCTAATCCTCGATTCTCACTCGGCTGATAGGACATCACCGCCCGTTGCCTGACAGATGGACGAGAAGCACGTGTACGGAGTGCTCTTGTGCTTCTTTTGCCAACGTTGTCAATATTCTGCACAACCGACAACCGTGTTCCCCTTGACCGGACGTTGAAGGCTCTCGGTAACCTCGATATGAATTACTTGAACTCTACCTTCCTTGCCTCATCGACACCGCATTCAATCGTACCCACAACCACACACACTTTTTGTGCGATGTATCGTACCAGCGCACGGAGCACCGTCTTCTCAGACAACCCAGTTCGACAGCAGATTTTCCACCTGACTGATATCATGCTCTGGACTATCGTTTTGTACAGAGAGCGTGATACGTACTGTAGTTCGACTATACCCGTTCAACCGGTATACTTTTCACGTGCGAACCCGTGTTAGTGTCAAATTCCATGCAAGAGTACCCAAGATTAGCGCAATGCTTCTGGTCGCTGGTCGCGACTACCACAAGCGGTGTTCCTTCGTTATGTTAGCGTGGCTTGAGACGGGTGGGATGTGTATTGCTCAATGCCGTATTGTGTGTGTATTCGTACGAGAAAGTGCATGTGTACATCGCTTGCGCTCCTCATGTTCTTCTTCTGGATGGCACTCATCTCTCATCAGGTCATGGAGGCGGTGGAGAGGTTCACCGATCCGTTGTCGGCAGCGAAGCACATCGTGCAGGATGCGTTTCGGACGTGGCTGAGGTACGAGGTGCGGACCGACGACATCACCATCATCGTCATGTTCATTGAGGACTTCAAAGAGGGCGACCTTTTGGAGGTCAGACCGACGACTTCTCGCAGACACCGTGCTGCGTGTGATGTACCATCGTCGCGATCAGGGGAAAGGAATTGAGATAGATCGCAGTGGGGGGTTGAGGTCAGCATGGCGTCCAAGTTTGCACTGTTGCGGCAGTGAGAATTGGTCGGTCACGTTTCTTTGTCGTTGTTAAGGTGAGTGTTTTCAATACCACATTTTCATCTTATCCGGGGACGATATGAATGAAGTAGTGGGTCGTGATATTTGTCAGCCAACCCTCCGCAGTACGATTTCTCCCAAACATGTGTGCTTCGATGAAAGGCACCTCATTTCATCTATGGTGTCGGCCTTGAAAGGCCCGACAGATAGTTTCTTTTTCTATTGTAACACTTTGGGTACTTCTAAACAGCAGGAGGGTATGACTACGCCCAAGGTACGACGCCAGACAGCAACTTTCATTGGGGAGAGCGTGAGGCCGGTGCGGCGCTATTTCAGCAAGGAGGCCAAGAGCCGCTTGATCAGGGAAGGGAGGGCTCGCGATCAAGACGAAGGTTAGGCTGACCGCTTGGTATAAGAATGGGGGTGGATAGTCGTGAAGGACGCCTTGAAGGACAGTGTCGTTTGGGGCTATGATTTATAGCGCGATGAAATGTGTCCGAGTTCGGACGGTCCACCAAGCTATTGAACCAAAGGGCATACCATCCTGGCTCTCCAACACATGCACACGCCACGCTTATGATGACATGACATGGATACTGCTGGACATGCATAATGCCCAGCCAACATCAACCCTGCCAATACTGGCTGTGGCCAAGTTGGCCGAAAAAGAGAGATTATCGGGTTTATCTCAACAACGTGCGGCAATATCGCGAAGGCAAGTATTGTCTCAAATCGGAAGATATCGCCACCAGGAACAAGAGCAGTGCTCCATCGTGCACTGGGTGCGTTCTGTGCGACCAAAAACATGAACCGAACCACCCCGTGAGGTCATGACCCTTCGATGTCGCTAGATCAGAAGACTTCGCTAGAGTCGCTGCGATGAGGAGATATTCTTTGGTAGCATGTGGTCGCAATGCGATGATGTTGTTGTCATCCTCTAGAATACGGAGATGTTCGCCTCAGATATATCCAACTGTTCGATAATTGTTTGCCATGCGTTGCAGAGACGTTCGACGTGGCTGCCAACGAGGTGCCCAAGACGAAGGAAGAAGTGGACACCATTCTCGCGATTGTCAAGGTATCCCAGCGCAATGGACGTTGCATCAACAGTCGGAGCGACCACCTGCAGCGGCGATTCCCATTGATGTGACAACCACCACTTTCATCCGTTACAGTGGGGGGTATTTTCGTGGCTGAGCACTCGAGCAATACACAGCCATGGCGTTTGCCTACAGTAATATCGCTACGCAATCAAAGCGCCTCCGGTTGAACGCTGCGCATCAAACAGCACCCTCCATTTCGCCCCCTCGCAGGATATATTCTTGTTCCAGCACTTGAGCGAGAAGCAGATCGCCGACGTGGTTCGAGTGATCTCTCGAGAGCACGTTGAGAAGGGGGAGGTGGTCATCAAGCAGGGGGACGAGGGGGACAAGTTCTACATTGTAGACGCCGGAGAATTTGATGTGAGATGTTTCGTATTCTATTTGTGGTTTTGGCGTTCGAGATACATTGTTACCCCCCTTGAGTGGATCAGCACGAGCACCCGTCAGTACGCTGGCAGCGTCTGTATGACTTCATGTATCCAGTTTATGTACAGCCTCAGTTCCTGTCATTATCGGTTCCAGAGAAGTTTCATCGAAGCCAACCCGACCATGAGGTTCGGGTTTAGCAGGGGGGTCGAGCCGTAGTTGTTATTGCACAGACACGATTGGTTTGTTCGTGCCGATCGGGATTTCTTGTGCCAATCTTCAGATCATGAATCCCTCACGTGCTGTGCGATCTCTCAGATGGTCTAGTAGGGCATCTTCTCTTTACACCCTTTTTAGATGGATGATGGCGTGGGTTCTTCCGATGAACCACTCCGCCAGGCAGCAGCCAAGATTAACGACAATGAAACGACAGTGGAAAACAGGGGTGGCCTCGCGATGACGTCAATGTTATTGTCAAAATGAACGCGTGCGGTCGTGGCACTGCGCATGCTACCGCCAAATATCAACCTTTACGTTGGTATCTGACATGCCTCCGCTATGTCATGTTTCGGCAAGGTGAGCGTCACGGATCACAACGGTGTCGATTCCGTCATCTCGCACATCAACCTTCCCGGCGTGAGCTTCGGCGAGCTGAGCCTCATGTACGGCAAGCCCAGAACAGCCACAGTCACCTGTGTGCACGACGGCTGGCTGTGGTGCCTGGAGCGGAAAGCCTTCCGGGGCATCCTGGTGGACAGGATGACGCACGACAACACCGTAAAAATATTGAGAAAGGTACGGAGCGGTTCGGAAAGTCGGTTGCAGATGGTCGAAGAAAGGGATGGAGGCAGTCCTTTCAAGCACGCGGGTAGTATGTTTTAGGGTACTCCGTTTGTGATGAGAGTGATATTGAACGTGTTCGCCACCAGGTGAAAACGCTCAAGCCTCTGTCTACCCTGAAGCTGCAGCAGCTCATCAGTCTCATGGAGGAGGAAAGCTTTGTGGACGAGCAGTACATCGCCTCCGAAGGGGAGATCGGGGACAAGTTCTTCATAATAGTTCTAGGGAAGGTGAGAGGCCACGTTGGAAAACAATCCAACAAACACGGTGTCGAAATACGCATATCACGGGTGGTGAGCTTGAGTGTCGTTGGCGATGACGTTGTTGGATGTAAAGCGGAATTCGGTGGGATCGGGGTAAGGACAAGAATGAACGGTGTAGAGCGAGCTTCGTAGACTCGACAAATGTAGCAAATGGCTTCCAGTGCCGCCATGTTGGGTATACAATCTAACGGTACGATAATTATCACATTGGAACGCTGCACACAACACGTTCGCCCCATCGTTGACAGGAGTCGCACAAGAAGGTACAAAGGTAGATAGATGGCGAAAGGACGAATTTGGGTTAGAGTGACAGGAGTGGACGTTCTGCTCACAGAACACGCTGCTATCTCGAGAGTGACACAGAGCCACTTGTTGCACAGACAGATTCCGGCATCCGTCTCAACCTCTCACTTGTTTGCAGCTTGTGAGAGCGAAACAAAAATACTATCAACTTCAGTGACAAAATGCGATTCTCTTGCCTTACTGTTCAACAATATTGGTGTTGGAGCAATGCCATGCGCAATAATAGTCGACCGTTTACAACATTTGACCAATGTAGACTGGATCGACGGTGCTAGCAACTGCCACAGGATGATATGCACATACACTCGATCCGCAATGAGCCACGAGGACGATGACGACGACATGACTATGACAACGATAGGTAATATGCTATGTGGGAGTGGGGCACGAGCGAGAAGAGGTGGCCTGCATCAACGTTGGGGGATATTTTGGCGAAACGGCGTTGCTTCATGATCTGCCAACAAAGGTACCGAGTGCGTACGCAATACCGAACCTATCAAGTAAGGCTTTGAAACTGGCGATGAATTATCTATTTTCTGCAGTCTTCATCCTTGTTGACGTCAGAGTAAGGCTAACATAAATGAAAACGTACCTGCATCAAGAGTACGAGCCAATTTGATCGTCGGTCCAGTTTGATTCTGTTCTGCATACAGATAACCTGAGAGTCGATGCCTATTTTTAGTTCCAACGCCGCGCAGATTTCGACACACGAAACCGATACTACAATGACTGCTTATGCGGCGAGGTCTACAGTAGAAGATCTCTACAATGCACACTTGGTCTCGTTGCGTTGTCGTTCGATGGCCACACACCTCACGCCCACGTCGAGGCGCGTCGGTGATTCATCCATCCTGCCTACACAGTTATTGACTCAAGCAATGTATTGCGCCACGTCAATGAAAATCTGAGTCGATTGCCAGCGAGCCGCAAAAAGCTTCATCCCTGTAGTTGCTGCCGTGCGGCCATCCTGTCGGTAACTACCCCAATCCGTCCGGACACAGGATTCCTGGGTTATGGGCCAAGTTTTACATGCACGCCAGCCATTGCTGGTCTAGGTGCCGAATACGAACGTTGATGAACAACATCGCACAGCGTCAATGTTCGCTCGCTTTACCCTGCGTGCGCTTCTTCGCTTGTCCTCTCTACCTGGTTGACAATATACCTCTTTCTTAAGTGTTAATGACCAACGTGCCATGTGTACACATACGTCCCTGCTCTTGTGTATTCACCACCCCGGTCAGTTTGAACTATTTATATTGCCCGTGTTCTGGTGCAGGGCTCGTTTGTGTCTAGTGGTCAAACCCGCGTTCTGTCCTTGCGAAGATCAACGATGGAAGCTAGGTTAGGTCCGCTGCAGTCGGAGATAGACCAGGCCGGGGTTCGCATGGCCAAGGGGGAGGCCATGAAGGAGAAGAACGACACATTGGTAGCATCGCTCCAGGTACGATGCTTTGCCGCACCCCACCGTGCTTGGAACCGCATGCCGCACACCGGTACACTTTGGCAGTGGCAGAAGATAGTCTACAGTAGTACAACTCCATGGGCGTGTGATTCGTGGGGAAGCGCCCGAGCTGCGCGAACTTGAGGTATATCGTAAACGACACACTTTTTTTGTTCGCCCCTAGTCTAATACAATAGTAGCTGAAAGGGGACCGGGGTGCGGAGGACAGGCAACATGCAATAAGATAAGCCCTTGCCGGCTAGAAACGAAACGGTAGAGCAGATAGTGTGGACCAAACATCGTTTCATGACGCACAGCGTACCGTACCACACGCCTCGAACACGGGGAATCACCGCATCGAACCTCACGCGATGGTATGCAACGATCGCCGATCGCCACCCACAAGTGATCGTGCTGCAGATGTGGCTCTACAACGTATTGTTCGGTCCCGCAGCGCGCTCATGCCCGCAGGTACTGTCTTTCTCTTCCCTCGCGTCTTTGTATCTTTCCATCGATTCGAGCAGGGCACCACCGCGGCAGATATTCGGTTAAGGGCTTGGGCGGTGCAGCTCGGAGCGGCCTCGTTTGTGGGGCAGTACGAGCACTTAAGGGCCAAAGCCACCTTCGCGGTTAAGGTGTGTACTGCTGTCAAAGACCGACGGTGAGATGTTCTACCCTCTTTCGCCTCATGATAAAATGTGGGCTCACTGGTCCACCTCCGCTGGAAGACACACTGTTGAAGCTGATGGTCATGTGTTGGCTTGTCTAGGAGGCACGAGATTATTGCCGCTACGGCCATCAGCTATGCAATGCAGCCGCGCTCTGAGGCCAACGTGCCGTTTCCATGGCGGCGCGCACAACATTTGAAGTGAACATTCCTTCAGCTGCCATGCTGACTTTCGTTATCGGCGCTCTTGCAGGCTTACCACAATCTCTCAGCAAGCGAATTTTTTTGTTTTACGTGTGCTCAGTTCCACTATGGGTGCATGACGAGCTCTCAGACAAGCTGTTAACGGTTTCAAAGCACCGCTTCGTTGTTGTTGCCCGTCGTGCGCAGACATCGCTAAAGAGGGGGTTGGTGGAGGAGGGCCAAGAGGCGACGGTGATTGCAGAAAGCCGCCTCCTGGCCAACTTTTCGAAACCGAATCCTTTCGTCCCCACCCAGCTCCTCACGTTGCAAGACGCGAAGGTGGGTTGTGGCTGAAATGGGCCATGTCCTACGACTGGTCTCGCCGTTCCATGAGTGAACGAGGCGGTTTCGTTGGAGGAGGCGAGGGAAGGGGGGTTAATCTGGCACAGCGGTGCCATGGAATGACTGGAGAAGTATTGGCTTCGCGACTGAGGCACACCCGGACAGAGAATAGGCAAACAGTGGCGTCAAAGGGAGATCAAGCCTTAGTACTTCTGGCGCAACGTTCATGACAAATGTCTCGACGACTTGCATCAGAAAACGTTCGGCGGTACCGATTCGAGTGCAGCATGGGGCTTGTGCTTGGGGGGAGTTAACACACCCGTCTCCACCCAGTCGTCGACAACAACCAAAAACACAACGTTCCCCGCTCCCCATCCCTGTTGCCTCTCGTCATTCGCCTCTCTGCTATTCAGTGTGTGTATTCTGTCTACAAACACTCGGTTATCTGCGACCTAGTGTGCCTTTTGGAGCATGGACCCTTGGCGGAGGTGAGAGAGAGATAACGCTCGAGGCAATAGAAAACCCTTTGCAGGCCCTTTTGGCAGTAAGATCGGTAACAACCGTGGTTGGAATGGTAAATCGGACGTTTGCTTGGGGACGGTAACGATGTTCTCTTGAGGACATCTTGGTTGGGTGTTTTGTCCAATGAGCATGACGTCTTCTTTAGCCGGTACAAGGTGGAAAAAACGCTAGATCCCACGTACGTGTAAACGAGCTTCTCTCGTTGGATTACAACATGCACCACCTGGATCAATTGCTTCAACTTGCTGACAGGGTATCAGTCCTGGTGGCCTGGCGCTAGCCCAATCTCACGACACTGCCAGAGAGTACGCTCGACGAATGTAGCAGTCGCGCAATTGTCAAGGTTGCGGTGATCAAACGGTACAATATCATAATTTTCATCGTGCTCTGATGTTTATGTGAACGGCAGAGAGTGTCCACAATGCATACATATAGCCGGCAGTCGTGCTCCTGGAAGCCGGCTACATTGTATCGAACAAGCTCTTGACACACGGTCGAACTTGTGGAATTTCCCATTTTTTGTTTTTTCATTTACACACCATTTGCTTTTACACACCATCTGGTTTTGACCTTCAGGGCAAAACTCAGAGGTACACGTTGAGCGTACCAGTCAAGCGATACGTAAAAAGTGTCCACTGAAGCGCTTGCCTCAATTTCCCGATGTTTCGAGGGTAGGTCCACTGTCTCTTTCTGCCGTCGATCGGTTCAAGGAGTGACGTGAACCATGAGCGCTGGTGAAAGAGGGGTGTCCATGGTCGGTTTTCCTTGTGCGTCACTGTGTTGATGAGCAGTATGTTTGGGAACGTACTGGAACGATTGACGACGCTCCCTGTTCCTCTGTTGTGTCATTGTGCCTTGTTTCCCAAACGCACGGTCCAGAAGCGCGTGGTCGGTCGGTCGTCGTCGTGATGCTACAGTAGTCGGCTGGAGTCCCCTTTTTCAAAGTAGATGAGTACTGCGCAGTCCTACCTGGGTGTGATCGTGATCATGTGCTGAGTAGCGCCTATTGCTTCGATGTATTGTAGATGCATACATGTGGACGAATAATTCGACAGTTGCACGTCCAGATCCATCGCCTCAATGTGATCACTCACCCAACAACGTGGTCGCATGCCTGCGCCACATCACCACACCGCGTACTGTCGGTGCATTGGCAAACAGGCCACCGCACGATTCTACGCGGCTTGCGTCAAGTCTGCCATCGTGTTCCTGCACGACGAAGGCTTTATCCACAGAAACGTCACGCCTCATTGTGTCTACATCACCGACAAGGGCTACTGCCAGCTGGCCGATCTCACCTGCGCCAAAAAGATGGACGGAAACAAGGTGAGGCTCACGATGCCTTCAAACCAAAGAATGTTGACGGCATATCTTCGACTATTGGCTTGTGTCTGCAGACATACATGAGGATACTGTCCCCCTTCGATGATAAACTAGACCAAATACCTGAATGGTCATTTCAGCATAACTCCAACTGTCAAAGCGGTGGGCGGAAACCGGCTTGGTCGACTCCTAATCCAACGGGCCGGGTGAACCATGTGGCGATTATTCCACCGCTGCTCGTTTCCAACCAATACCATATCCTCGCACTGGTGTAAACATAGGGTAGCGTCTTTCACTGTGGCCATTTGCAAAGTTTTGGGAGTTTGGGCTTGTTTGGCCGCAAAGGAAGGGCGCTTTTTTTTGCGATAAGCGAGAAACGAGCCTCCACCTGCACCACGCACGGCATTCACCTCGGTTCTCTACTTACAAGCACAGAGCATGCGCAACAGTGGGTTCGGCTTTTGTCTCTTAGCACGTCGTGAAAACACAGTTTGTATACACTACGAAACATTCTTGTGCGTCTTCCTGCACGAAATTGATGGAAATATTTTCATTGTGGATGCTGTCGTCACTTCCCCGCCTGCCCGTCTCTAACCCATGATATTATTCCGTCGACCCTCCACCCATGTTCTCTTTGGTTGAAACCCCCAAGGCATATACAATGGTGGGAGACCCGCACTACATGGCCCCAGAGCAAATATCGGGGCAAGGGTACGGATATGGCGTAGATTACTGGTCACTAGGGATCCTCCTTTTCGCGATGCTGCACGTGGAGACACCGTTTGCACAGCACACCTCTGAGACCCAGGTTCGGCACCACCAAATGAAAAGGCTCAAAAGTAGTGGGGCCGCATATACAAGGCCGGCCACCTGGTATAACGGCGGTGAATTTGCGTGACGTACATGGATGTGGTATTGAATAGTACCGGGTGCCGGAAAAAAAGACTGGTGAAGGCCAATGGCGCTATGCGGCCTCATCCAGGAACCGCTACTGCTCTGTGGAAGGACAACGTACTCTCGTTTAAGGAGACGATGACGGTGGTGTGTGATACACGTTTGACTTGGAAATCGTTTCGTCTGTTGAGACTACATCAAGGATACAAACATCAGTCCCAAACTCGGATGCCTGGGAGGTTTTCAGCAGGAACTATGTTGTATCCTCCAGCGGCCGGTTGCATTACTTGTGATGAAGTTATTTCCCACTTTTAAAGCTTGATGAGGATGTCTATCGCCCCGCTCTCGGCACCAGGTGTACACGAGCATCGCGTCGTTCAAGCCGGAGAGTCTCCCCTTTGAAGATACGGTGTCGCAGCCTGCCCAAGAAGTGGTCCGTTCTTTCCTTCAGGTATGCGAGTATCTCTACCGTGCACAAGGACCACTGCAACCCAACATTCCTCCTGCACCCGTGCATCGATTAAGCAGTCGTTGGAATCAGACTCTTGGGAGGTCCTTCAATCACTTTCAGCAATATGCTATTGAAAGCCAGTTGGTTTCTGATCTCGAGGTTTGTCTTTGTACCTTAGAGTGATAGCTCTCAAGGAACAAATATTCTTTGACTGCTCTGTTTACACTGCCTGCGGTTGTTTTTTGGCCGTTGCACCCCTCTCTCTCTCTCTTCGGACATTTTTTACGTATCTACGTAAGAAAATATACGTTGGGTTGGCCAAGGTGTTCCACCTGTTGGCTCATTATTCCAGTTTCTATATTTCGTCCCTCTCTGCACCGCAGCCCAAGCAAGACAAACGGCTTGGCAGTGGAGGGGGGCCCGCCTTGACGGATCATCCGTTCTTCGAGGGCATCGATTGGGATCAGCTAGAGCGAGGAACGCTTCCGGTGGGTTACCTATGACGAGTATGACGAGTTTGACAAGTATGGCGGGACCCGATCAATCACGTCACGTTGGTAGCCCTGTCCCGTTGGCCATCCGGCCCCCCAGTGCTTGGCAACATTGCCCCTGAAGTTGAAAATACAGTAGTCGTGGAATTGATCGTCGGGACACGCCCAGGAAGCACACGCGAAGGGGGTGTTGAAACGCTAAGTATTGAAATCAAGGCGTTCAGGAGCGAGCCCATGAACAAAGAATAGTATAAATATTGTTGCATGTCTCCCAAATTTGAATTTCCAAGCGAAACCAAAATCTGCATGATGTGTGGAGAGATGGAGAAATGAAAAGTTTCGTTTGCTTTCCTCCGTCAGGAGAAATCGCACGTATGGTTATCCCCCTACTGTAGAAACGAAACAATATGGACTTCCAGATCTACCTGCAAGTAATAATATCCCCAAATGCATTTTGCCAACCCTGACGCACTACGAAGAAGTACAAAAAGAAAGGTATTCCTCGGAGAATGATAGTTCCAATCAGAGAAAAAAGAACCTATTGTACATGAAGCACACATTTGAAATCGTTCAGATGGTTGGCCAAAAAAGCCAAGCAACCACTGGCTCTAGCGGAAAGTGGCGTCTGGAGGTCGCTAGTCATGGGTTATTCCTCGGTGCCGCGCGACGTCTTTCCCAAACGTTTTCCTCCGCAGGTAGAAAAAACAGCCAGAGTCAGTGCGAACAACCACGAAAAACACCAACTCTTGCCCGCACCTCTTATGCATTGAGGCTAAGTCCTAAGAATGAGACTGAATGCATACATGGACTACAAGTAGTACGGGTTTCACCAGTCGTCAGGTATAGGGCTTGAAACAGATGTGGAGTCTACACCAAGACCGGAATTCGACTTGCACTCCGCCCCGTTCGCCTCGTTTCTTGCCTTTAGCCACCATTGCTGGGTACGGACATTGCTGAGCAAATTGGGGATAGATCAGACCCTGAATTCGAGAGCGAGTTCCTCAACGGCAGTCACGACGGCGAGGATGGCAAGGACACCAACAGTAGCGCGGGTGACGATGCGGCATTCGATGCGCTGTTCAAGGCTTTCTGAAGGGCAATTTGGTGTATTTGGTATTTCGTTTAGTCTCGAGTAGATACAGACGTGCTTGTGTCTACAGAGGAATAACAGAGAACTAGGGGCTTACCTAAGAGTAGCACCGGTAGTAGCAACGTGAAGCCTTTCAAGGATGCCTACCGACATTGTGTTGGCCTCGGGGAAACGGGCAGATTGATGGAGGCGTAGACAACCGGTGATATATTGAAACCGTTCGACCTTCTTTGGTGTTCTTGCTGGGTTTCGTGGACAAGGTGTCGCGCACGTAGCACCCCCCCCCCAGAGAGGAGTTGCTCCCAGCTACTCTGTCAAATTTAGGGGGTTCATGTGGAGGCGCAAGGCGGGTTAGAGACCGCGATAAGACTCGAGAAGCAAGGCACAAGAGCTTCTAGTGGGTGGCCAGCATGAGTTCCTGCCGATTCGTCAAGTCTATTTCCGCTCACCTGGCTCACTCACACTTACTTTCCTTCGAAACTTTCCTTCGAAGGTCCACAGATGGGTAGGCGAAGAGAATGGTAGATTGTGCCGTTTGGCCAACCCTTGTCCGGAAAGGGAGCACCAACGAGCCAGACGAGGGTCCGGTCCTGACGGTTTATCCCCCTAGCGTACGCGTTGCACCGGCCAGGCCGTCCTTGCCCTCGCCGTTTCTGCGCCTGTCTACCATTATCTTCGTCATCTCTACAACTACTTCTGCGCTAGCACGGTTATATACTACACCAGTGGAGCGCAGAGACCCGGTTGTTACTCTGGAGAGAAAGAGATGGAGAGATAGATAATTAGAACGACACACACAAGACAGTAGGCGCAGAAGGTGCCTGCTGGAAACGTGCTCTGCCCAAGCTGCATCTCTCTTCGCTTTAGGGGTATCAACGATGCAAGAAGAAGTTGATTGTGATTCAAGAAATAAGGACAGCTGCATGCCGAAACAGGAGGTTCACTAACCAACTGCATCGTGAAGGAGAAAAAATGGATGCCAAATACTAGAGGACAGTTGGAGAGGGTCCCTTGCGCACGATCTAAGACCATGGACACAGCAACCGAACACATTGTTACGAATTACGAAGCGAACACCACCGTCAAATACACGAAGAAATGAGGGAGTGGGGGGCGCTACGGGCGCGGAGAGTCACACACCAGTAGCGAAATGTCCAACGCAACGCCTCCTCAACAACAATAGTCTATTTTCACAAAAAACATGTTTGTTTGGTAAAAGGGCCGTTTTAAACGGACCGACTTTTTGTCAAAATTTTCACAGGTCTGTTCTGTAGGGTACTGATACTTCTGTAGGGTACTGATACTTCTGTAGGGTACTGGGAGAGTTACAGAGCTGTTTGTGAAATCTCTGTAGGGTACTGGGCGAGTACCGAACGTTCTGTGAAATCTCTGTAGGGTACTGGGGTCTCACAGAACTCCTCTGTAAAATCTCTGTATGTGCTGGGGTCTCACAGAACTNGTGAAATCTCTGTAGGGTACTTAGGTCTCACAGAACTCCTCTGTATGATACACAAACAACGTACCTACAGACGAACCCGGTACTTACCCCCCGATAGTAGCAGCGTCACAGGACATCACGTCCTGCACCGCACAAAAGGACGTCTGCACCGCATGAAA